TGATTCTATGATTCTATGATTCTGTATATTTGAGGCCACAAACAAGTAGTTTAAGCCTGTTTGCTCTTTAGCATCACTATATTTTACTTGTGCCTAAAACGATCTTTTCGTTAACATGATTGTGTCACTTTAGATTCCAACAGTGTGTATATCCTGGTTTTACAGAGGTTCATTGGGGATAGTAAATATTCCTGAACAATAGTTTATTTATAAGGAATCTCGATTGCAGTATTATTTTGACAGGAATTGTGGTGGGTTGACCTTTGCTGGCTGCCAGGTACCCACCAAGCTGCTCCCACTCCCTTCCTCAGCAGGATGAGGGGAGAAAGTAAGATGAAAATCTTGTGGCTTGAGATAAGGACAGGGAGATGACTCACCCATTAGTCACAGGCAAAAGAGACTTGGGGAAGGGAAGATTAATTTATTGCTATTAATTGTAACAGAAGCGGTCGGCCGGGTCCCCACCAAGCTGCTCCCACTCCCTTCCTCAGCAGGATGAGGGGAGAAAGTAAGATGAAAATCTTGTGGCTTGAGATAAGGACAGGGAGATGACTCACCCATTAGTCACAGGCAAAAGAGACTCGACTTGGGGAAGATTAATTTATTGCTATTAATTGTAACAGAAGGATAGTGAGAAATAGAACAAAACTAAAAATGCCTTTCCTACACCCCCCTTCTTTCTGGGCTCAAGTTCACTCCTGACTCTTCTACCTACTTCCCCCAAGTGGCACAGGGGGATAGGGAATGGGGGTTGTGGTCAGCTCATACCACTTCACCTCTGCTGCTCCTTTCTCCTCATGCTCTTCCCCTGCTCCAGCCTGGGGTTTCTCCCACAGGATACAGTTGTTCACAAACTGCTCCAATGTGGGCCCTTCCCATGGGCTGCATTCAAGAACTGCTCCGTTGTGGGTCCCTTCCTGAAGGACTGTACGCTGTGGAACACACTGGTCCAGTGTGGGTCCCCCACAGGGTCATTGGTCCTGCTGGAAAACCTGCTCCTGTGTGGGCTTCTCTCCACAGGCCACAGCTCCTGCCAGGGGCCTGCTTCAGCATGGGCTCTCTGTGGGCTGCAACTTCCTTCAGGGCACATCCACCTGATCCGGCGTGGGGTCCTCCATGGGCTGCAGGTGGATATCTGCTCCACCATGGACCTCCATGAGCTGCAGGGGACAGCCTGCCTCACCATGGTCTTCACCATGGGCTGCAGGGGAATCTCTGCTCTGGTGCCTGGAGCACCTCCTCCCCTCCTTCACTGACCTTGGTGTCTGCAGAGCTGTTTCTCTCACATTTTCTCACTTGTCTCAACTTCGCAGTGTTTTTACCCTTTCTTAAATATGTTATCATATAGATACTATGTTGCTGATTGGCTAAGCTTTGAGCAGTGGTGGGTCTGTCTTGGAGCTGGCTCTATCCAACATGGGGGCAGCTTCTGGCATCTTCTGTGAGAAGCCTTCTGCTACCAAAACCTTGCCATGTAAATCCAATATAGGAAGAAATTATTAATTTCAGGAAGTGTTTACAGCATTCCATGCTAACTTCCAAGTGTAGTTTAAGTTATCAACTTTTTTGTGATTTTTTTTCCCAACTAAAATAGTTGTCTGCATACTTTAAGCGAATCCTCTAGTCTTCTCTGTAACTACCCTTCAAATTTTATATACCTTCCAAAATACAGTGCAGTGATAAATGAAAGTGGACTGTTGAATGCACACAGTTTTTTCCCCAGTATGTGTGACTGGGAATATATGCCCTATGGAGCAGTGCTCATGAGAACTTTCACACCTCCTAGCTCTAATTCCAGTTTTGTGTCCTTGAAGTAACAATAGGCAGATTCTTCCTTTTTGTTTACCTTTGTTATGAATGGATTTTTGATACCTGTTTTCTTTAGCCTACTTCCCTCTAAAGCACCTTCTGGGCTGAAAGAGCACCAGCTATATGTTTTGGTGTTTTCCATGAAATGGTTGGGTTTTCCTTGTCTTTATTTTTGTGGCTTACCACTTTATTTCTCCTAGTTATCTTAATGGTGTAATGCCATGGTTGTGAACCCCAATTGGTTTTAGTAAACTTTAGTGGTAATGGGGGTTGAGTGGTAGTTGGGAAGATCTTGAGTGTTGTTTCTGGTTTGGGACTGGATTTATATGCTTATGTTCTCTAGATTTAATTCCCTGTCTGTTTCTGTGTTTTAGTGTAGGGTATATTATATGGGTTGCTGTATTACTTCATAAATCTTCAAAGGAGGGTAAGGCAATTAAGAGTTTTTTCTTCAGAGCTTTGTTTGGTTGGTATTGTATCTGAGATTGCTGCCAGCTTCTTTTTTATGGTTTATGTACCTGGTAACAATTGTTAAAAATGGAATTGCAGTCTGAGCACATCTGTTCTCAGTGTTGAATGTGATAAACACAAAGTTCTCTTTATGCTATTTGAGTTCTTTGAGTTCAGATACTTCTGTGTTTCTGTTGGCACCTGGTGGAGCCACTGACATGCTGTTAACTGTCCTGATGACTTAATGACTGTGTAGCTTATGATCTATTACTTATTTGCACCTGGAACAAAAAGCTGTTTCAGCATAGTATTCCATTTTGCTTGTTCATTTATGCTTAAAAATTCAATGAGCTTAATGGTTTTTTGTTTTCTTGCAGTTCAACTTTGTGGGAAAACTTTTGGGTCCACGTGGCAATTCTCTAAAGCGCTTACAGGAGGAAACACTGACAAAAATGTCTATTTTGGGAAAAGGTTCTATGAGGGACAAGACAAAGGTAAGACCTGAATATACTAGTGCAGTGTTTGATACCTGGATTTTGTAACTTTTTCGTAAAAATCTTTGGGCAGGTGAACAAACCCCATCACAAAAATCAGGGAGCAAATAAGAAGTATAGGATATCCTCATATTGGTTAGATTCAGGTGGAGGCTCTTTTCTGAGTCTGTTCTCACTATGTGTATTTTGAGGCTATCAAGAGTTGTACTTAGACCCCCCCAAACTACGGTCTTTGGGGTTGTAAGTGGGGCATTACCAGTGGCATGTTCTAGATTTACTTGTTACAAGCTGTACAAGATCATGCCCAAGTGAATGTGGCAGTGTTCCCACTTTTGAAGGAACCTGACTTCTAGATAGATCTAAACATTTTCACATAAAATAACACTTAATACTTAAATTTAATATAATTTAATGACATTTTTAGACAAAGAGGAAAAATAGCTGATGAAAGGAGATAAAATACAACTGGAAAAAAATTCAGAGCTCTGAGGATGACTTATGCAGCTTAAGCAGTTGACAAATTGCAATTGTCTCTATGGGAGGTATTTGGTTATAGTAGATGTATCCATTACAAGAGCTGAAGCAGACAGCAGAAGAGAAACCTTTAGGTTGATACGTGTTTGTACTAATCAGTTTCACTCTTTACTGAAATAAATCTCTGGCTAAATTTGTAACAGGTAAGTGTACATCAGTGAGGAGATATGTCACCTGTCTGGTAAGCTGCATTTTTTAATTGGAGCATTCCTAATGATACAAATTAAAACACTGAACATATTTCTTGCCTGTAGCATACCATGTTTTATAGGCCTCCAATGGAATCTTCCTGTGGTTATGTAATTGCAAACATAAAAATACTGTGTGCTATGAAGACTGATAATGACATAAATATGGAAGAGTGACTTACAGGGCTGGCTACTGAATTTCCTAAGCTATATATTTTTCAGCACATTTCTCCATCAGCAAAATATAAATGTTATGTGATTTATAGAGTATTTATCAAGAACTTGATCAGAGCCCATAAATGACTCTTTTTGTACAACTCAAAAGCGAACTCTTTTAATTCCTTCTTGAAAATATTTATTAAATATAACTTAAATTAATATGAATATGTTTATAAAAACATAATAAAGGCTTGAAGATATGGAATGGATTTTTGAATGAGAACTGTTATATCATACATAATACAGATAATGCAACTTTAAGATTTAAGTGCTACACAGTTAGTTATGAAAAACTGCAGACTTGATATATGACAGTTAACTAGGAAAAAACCCCCAAGAATACAAACTAAATTTGCTACTAAGCCAGGATGACAAAGTAAGGCTCCAAATACTGTGTTAAATGACACTTGGTGAACTTTCTCAGTTCTTGTGGAACCTGTCAACTGACATTGTTCTGTTGCTGGGTTACGTTTCTATATCAAAATATGATGCGTTGTGGAACAGGAAGGCCCCTGAGTTTTTCTAATGGCTCTGCAGTATAAAAAAGGTTGTTTTATTAAAAGCAGAAGCTCAAGCTGAAAAGTTCAGATTCTAACTTGAATCTTAGAATCCTGGGGAAGAGTCTAAAAGGTTTACATTTGAATAATTTGAACTTCTCGTGTTTCCTTTGGTAATGATGTAATTGTTTAAATTTTTATTTGACTTTCTCTTGATTGAGATGCCAGCCAAAACTGTAAGTAAATTTTTGGTTTTAAATTAAGTGGCTAATAAAGTTGTTACAGGTTGGAGAGCTATTTTTCACAGAAAACTTCAATACAATTAATCTTTGAGTGCAGAAACAGTAAGGTTCCTGTCATTGTGGGTCTGGCTGGGTTTTTAAAAGGGAGAATAGAGGACCCAGTTGGATACTTTGGAATAATACAGCTGGAATAGCTTGTATGTATCTATTTGGGATAGTCCTTCAGAAAATACTGTTCAGAACTGAAGCAGACCATTAATGACCCTGCAGGTTCAATTGAGTGCTGGAAACAGAAAGTACTGGTGCTACAAAGGGATCCTGTCAGCTAATAACCTAAACCAGGTTGCAGTCATCCCTTGTTCTTTGGGGACGCTGCTCAGCAAGCCAGAGACTCTGTATGTGGAGAGTTGTGTATGTTAACCAAACAAGTTTTTAATTTAGATTATCTATATACTAATTGTTTCAACCATATCTCTTTCATTAACAAGTAATTTACTTTTTGCCTTGATCTTCATACATTCTTGGTTAGCATTTTGAAACTACTGTGTTAAACTTGTCCAGAGAACGAGCAAATAAGAGAACCTTAATTATGGAGCTTTTTTCTGTATGCAAAAGAATAGTGGTCTATGCTGGAGAGAAGCGCAGCATTGAATTCCTTGGTGTCAGAAAGGCTGGCAAATTCCCAGGTGTGACCAAGTCTTGCATTACTTGGAAAATCTAGTTGAGACTTTAGTGTGGTATTGACAAATAATGAAGTACATCACTCTTGCCCTGTTTGATATAATATTTCAAATATGGAGAGAAGCTTGAATTGCTCCTATAGGAGACTATTAAGTAAATAGAGTACATTACTTTTTCTATTTGCCAGTAATCCACGTGCCAAAACAAGCAATTTCATTGCTGCCTTGACAATGTGCAAAACACAATGTAGAGATGATGGATGGTGAACCGAGGTGACATACCAGCCTAGAAAGACACATGGGGGAGAAACTGCCTTTCTGTTGCATCTGTGACTCCAAGCATTACTTGTCTATCACAGTTCAAGTGTGGCTGCTTCTCCCTATTTTGCAGTGGACTATCTGACCAAACCGCAAGTTCCTAGCCTACTATTTTGCATCCTGTAGGATAGGAGGAATTGACTCAAAAATACAATTGCAGTTGCATGGAATTTTCTTCCAATTCTCATTGACTTTTTGATTTATTTAACGGTCAGATAAAAGTGAAATCTCCTAAACAATATTGTGTTCTCCTGGTGATCAGGAAGTTAGAGAAAACCTTGTTTTCAGAAGTGCATAGGTGATGTAACATACTGATGTTCAAAGGCATAAACTGTAACTTAAAAATTTTCTGGGAAAAAAAAAAAATTGGTTTTGGAGCACTGTTTTGGTTACAATGTTACAGGTAGCAAAATCTTTGGAATTTTGAATGAAAAAGAATAGTGGTCTATGCTGGAGAGAAGCCCAGCATTGAATTACTTGGTGTCAACAAGTTGCTGGTCAGAAAGGCTGGCAAATTCCCAGGTATGACCAGGTTTTGCATTACTTGGAAAATCTAGTTGAGACTGAATCTGTGATAAGGTATCACAGATCAAAAAAATTTTCAGCTGATATAAATTAGTACTCTTACACTGAAGCCAAATCTGCACCACAGAACAGCTGGGGATCTCATCTATTGTCTCTAACAAGTTCATTGCAGCATCTTTGACTGCTGTCACTAGAAGTGAGTCAGTGTATGCTGCTTATTGATGGTGATCACAGATTCTGGGATGAACCAATTGTTGGAGGCTCTGGATCAGATTGTCAGATGTTTCTAAACACTTATATATTAGTACACTTGCTACATTACCAGTTTTAAATGTATGATGATTACCTCTTTCCTGAAGAAAAGTGGCAGTAAGCTCTGTAGACTTCTAGAGAAGTATCTTCCAGATACTTTATTTTTTTAGCTTTAAGAGAACTTCAAAGACTCGTGGAAGAAAGCGAACTGATATGAAAGGTTGACAAAATACAGCAAAGAACACAATTACCTTCTCTGGGAAAGATAAAACAGGAAACACAGGATTCTGTCTCACTTTAAATTCATTTAGATAATGAGACCTGGGTGTAAAAAGAGCACATTCAGGAAAGTGTTTTTACTGTATCTTTGTTCCTTACTCATTGAAAACGTGAGTTCTAGAATCAATCTAGGATTTCTATTTCTTCTGCCAACATCTAGAGAACCATTTCATACATCTACTTATGATATGCAGTATCTAAATTCAGTAATTCTCCTCTTCCATTTGCATATTTTATCAAGTTGTGCTGTTGCTTCATCACTGGCTTTTTGAGTCATTGCTCAATGCAGACATACCTTCTGCTAGACTATTCAGGTTTTCATGTGTCTATGGGAGAGTGAAAAAGTAAAAGGACCCATTTCAGAATTTCTTTATTGCATGACAAGATTGCTTTTATATTGCAAATCTGAAGAAATAATATTTAAAATAAAGCCTTCCATCCCAATTGGTTATTCCTATATTATCAATAGTTTGAGACTGGTACAGGCCTTTCAACTTGAGTATTCTAAATGGTATTGAAAATCTGACAGAAGCCAAATTCCATTTAAGGTAACATTAAAAAGAGGTATTGGGTAGTACCTAAAAAAACTTACAGTCTAACTCAAAGGTGGTGTAGTGAAGATGAAAATGGACAGTACGATGAGGATTTATTTTGATAAATACTGCTACTCAGCTACTGATTTAAAGCAGTAGTTCTGAGGGCTGGTATCTGGTTCTTGGTAGCTTGACAAATAGGATGAAAAGCAACAGGGTCTACAAGTACAACAGAATACAGGACAAAGTATATTAACTGTCTTTAGTAGGCATATTGCCAGATGCCTTGTGCTGCTATGCATTATAATCTGTGCTAGTACTCTGCTTTATTCTGGACCACGAAGGGGTGAAATAGAAGAGCACAAGGTACAAAGCAAATAGTGAGCTTTCTCGTAAGGCTCCCGGAGTGCAGTACTGCACAGATGTGTCTGTACTGAAGACAAGCTAGATCAGCTTGTCCAAGCCATGAGCCATTTGGTTTGATAAATTTTGTGTGAGAAGATGGAGATTTAAAGGACAGATTTAAAAAAAAAGAAAAACTAAAGGAAGTGGCCACTTTGCTGTCTTTTAGCTCCCTTGTTCCACATCTGCTTTATTTTCATCCTTTCAGCAGCTCTCAAAAATCTCCATTGCAGCCAAGGAGGAAAAAAGTTCTCTGTTTTGGCCAGCCCCACAGCATCCACATGGACCAGGCGAGCCTAGCCGATGTATGTACTGTCAAGTAATGGAAGGCAGAGGGTTTTGTGGGAGCTAAAAATACTGCCAGTGAAGGATACTGGAATGGGAGCAAGCTGTGGCTTTTGTGTTGGTCATCACGGGGAACAAAAAAGCCTGAAATGCTTAATGTGTGCCCAAGGTTGGGAGATGTAGGCCACAGTGGATGAGCTCTTCCTCATTTGTGTGCTGTTAAGAGCTGTGGAGAATAGTGTGTTGCCAAGTCATGTTACAGAATTGGGAAAAAAAAATTAAAGTAAACTTTGCAAGTGAAACAAGAAGAAAGGATAAAATAAAAACTTGCTTGTGGGAATGATTTTAGAACAACCTGCACTGAAATATCTTGTATGTTTTGTTAAAATTGCTGATTGGAATCCTTCTTTCACTAGGCACTGCACATAAAATTGTGATGTTTCTATTGCTTGTTGCTGTTACCAGGCAAGCTAATTGATAACCACAGAAGTGAATTTTCATAATTCTCAATTCTCTGTACATGTAACTGCACAGTGATTTTTTTCTCCCCTTTAAAAAAAGGGACAGGGGATGCTTGATAGCATGTATATACTAAAAAATGAAGTATATGGGGAACTCCACTGATGAAAACATCTAGCTTCCAGTGCCAGATAATGGTTCATATGTCTTGAATAACTGTCCTTAAGTATTTAAGTGAGAAACAGTTCCTATTAAAACTAAATGTTTGAGGTATAATGTTTATATTAGTTTACTTCCTATTTCTAAGGTCTGTTATTTGTATTGACAAGAAAATAGTTTTGCTGACAGTGTCTAATCCTGCTGACTCTGGCCTCTTAATAATCTTGCGGTGGATGCTCTTGACAGTTAACTAGATTCTGTTGATTTTTTTAAAACATCCCCACAGTCAAACACAAAGTCTGACAAGAATGTTATTTATGAGAAGCAGAAATGGGTTGTCATTTATAAATGTCAACCATAATTAAGGAGTGTGTGTGTGGGAGATTTCAACTATCATTGAAACTATATAATTTTAGTAATCTAAAGGATTACTAAAGGATCTTACCTGCTTGCTAAATACAATAAGCAGCAGGGAATAATTCTTAGGGCTTTGGTTTTTAGATAGCATAACTGCTAAGAATTTGATATGATGTTATCTGGTAATACAATGAAATTATTTTTAATGGTGTCTTAGTCTCTTGGAATGCACGAGTCACAAACACACATGGTGGGGCAGGGAGCCTATCTGAGACTAACAAACGTCCTTTAGGTCTGTGAACATTTTGCATGTGAATGCAAGTATTTGAGAGAATCGAGCTCTGTTCCACTACATTGAAATCAGTTTTTCAGTCATGTTGAAGTGGGTTGGGTGAAGCGGAATAAAAGAAATAAACTCTGTTCTGAAATAGCTAGTGAACTCTTCTTTTTTTTTCCCTCTAATGTCCTCCTCTCATCTCATATGCTTAACTGTTAGTTTCATGTCCAAGTAACACAGTTCTGTGAAGAATATACTCATGGGGTAGAAATCTCAGTGAGAACAGAAAATAAATAAGAAGTATGAGCTGTGCAATAATACTAAGAAGAGATTGAAATAATATTGGTAAAAGAATCTTGCTCTTATGGAGTATTAGATCAAACCTGTTTCTAAAGACTTTGGAGAAAAGAGGCTTCAAGTTCACTTATGTTTCTCAGTGTCTTCTATGTGAAACTGGTGCACTTGGGAAAACCTTGTGCTACAGTTTCTGTATGTGAGCAGAAGCTGATGGGTCCTATTTTGTGTGTTACTAGTCACTTAGTGTTGATAAGCAAACTGATACTATTCTGATATTTTAGCAATGTGATTGGTTTGAAGTGTATCAGAAAAATATGTAATTTTATACTTTTTAGTTATTGACATCTGAACATGAGTAAACAGTACGTGCAAATGCCTCTGAACTTTAACACTTGCATTATAATATGTTTAAAATAAGAAGGTGGGAAAAAACAACTTCTTTCTTATCTCCTAGGAGGAAGAGTTGAGAAAAAGTGGAGAGGCAAAGTACTTCCACCTAAATGATGACCTGCATGTTTTAATTGAAGTATTTGCTCCACCGGCAGAAGCATATGCCAGAATGGGACATGCATTGGAAGAAATCAAGAAGTTCCTCATCCCTGTTAGTATTTTAATTTTTTTCTTAAGAATTCTGGTAGTCTTGAGTGAGAAATTTTCTCTAAAACTAACTTGCTGTATGATATTGGTCAGGTCATGTTGCTTAATTTCCTTCAACTGTGAAAGAGGTGGTGATGTTTACAAATACTCTTCTGGTATAGGCAGTTATTGGGTGAATGCATAACTGTCCACATAAACTCTCACCTCATGATATGACCTATAGTAAAAAAGCAACTTATTCTTGCTTAACTGGTCATGTGCAAAGTATTGAAGTTTACAAATAATTGTAAAAAGCTATAAAATATGGAAAAATAACTTTGCTTAAGGTTCTTGGTTTGTTCTTGGTACACCTGAAGTATCAGCATAAGGTTCTGTTTAAGAATAAATTTGAAACTGTAGTATTGCTCCCGCCCATAATCCTGGTTTAGTGTTCAGTGTTGAGAATCAATAAAATTTTATCTTGTAGCTTTATTTTTCTCACAAAGCTAGTGATACATGGATTATATTTGTCTTCTGGTGTATTCTTCAACTTGCGATGTATGGATGTATAAAATGAGATGTGATTTCCAGTATAAGTTTGTACAGTAGGCTTGGGATATGTATAGGCACTGATGTTGCAGGGTTTCCAATGATAGATTTCTTTATTTGCTTCTCATGTAAGGACCAACCTTGATTGTTTTGCAAGATTAAACTGCTTGGAACAGTCCAAGCTCTCTTAAGACCATTTGAGGTGGTCTTCCTGTATGTGAAGTTCCTAACTGTATTAGCTCTTCAGTGAATGTTCTTCTATTTTTATTGGTTATCAAATGATTCAATATAGAGAGTAAAGCATCCTCAAGGTGCATTGATTTCTGCTTATTTTTACTGCTGAAAATGTTATCCAAGTGTTATTCTTGACTGGTGTCAGATCTGGGAAATGTGGGAGACCTAGCTAAGGAAACTTCACTAAGGTGTGTATCTGAGTGACAGCAGCATGTAAATGTTTAGGAGTATAGTCAGCGTCGCTGTGTTCAGGACCAGTTGGGGATGCCTGTTGTATGGCTGCTACAGCCTGTTTGGAGTAGAACTGCCAGCTGTACTCTAGGGTGAAGCAGCTAGTTTTGATGACCTGACAATACTACCATATGGATTTTGGGGATTTTAGTTTGTGCTAACTCTAGATCCATGAAACCAAGTCCCCAGGTGACTGGAGTTAATTGTGTGCTCCTTGAGTGTTTCTTCTGGCTTGTTTTTATCTGAATGAAAACTAGTTTATATGCCCCAATACTATTCCATGACACGAACCAAAGCATGGTAAGTAAGGATCATCAGGAGGCATCCTGATGTGAAATAACACACTGTGGATGCACCTTAAGACAGTTAACCCCCCCTCCCAAATGTCCTGAGCATTATGTTCTATTATAAAGAAGCAAGCACCACATCATAACTCTGTCTGCAGGTTCCAAATGGCTTTTGTCTTGATGTATATAGAGGTAAATAAACATACTACTGTTCAAACATCCTAACTGATTAGGTAGAGGATATTCAACAGAATAATTGTAAGGAATGTTGGGCTGTCATAATGTCGAAGGTTACTGTATTTACATGATTCATGATTTGATTGTGTGAAGAGATAAGGGAGAATTAAGTTCTTGGCTATTCTAGTGAGCAAACAGCTGTTTTCTCTTTAGATTAAAATATGCTCCATTTGATAAGTGCTTTTTGCCTGCACTGGAAGTAAGGATATATGATTCCCCTGCCCCCTTCATCAGAGATCTTATTTTTCTTCATTGAACTTGATTCACCTAATGTCAAAATAAATGAAGTAAGCTTATCAAAACCTCGTCATTACTGCTGTTAAGCCAGTAGAATTACAGACTGATAATGAGCAATTCCATTCATTAGTTGTACACTTTTCCATCTCAATTTTTGATCACTGCATCTTTATTGTACTGAGCTGAACTGATGCTGCATAATCTTTCTGAACTATGGGATCAAGCCAACATGGTCTTAATTTCCCTTTGGCTTTTCAAATGTAATCTTATCAGAATGGTTCTAAATGCCTTAATCTTTTCTGCTTCCCTGCCCCCCTTGCAGCAGCCACTCCAGGATGCAATAAGGAGCCACTTTGTCCTCTCCAAAACTACTATTTGGTTAACTGCTGCCAAATGCAACTTGATTTTTATTTTCTATAAGGTCTGTTGTGGCTTTCTTAGCAAATTATCAGTTTTATTTCAAGTAGGAAGTCCTGCTATCAGTATATATGATTATGATCTTAATTTGTGTTCTTACAATGTAAGCTAACCATACCTTCCAACAACTTTAGATGCTGATCCTAATTTACGAATATGGCCATTGTTCAGTTTTCAGATCAGGCCTGAATATACAATCACAATTGGTGCTAGAATGTAGGATACAAAATATCCTTGTAGTAGCTGACTATAGCAAAAATGCCTTAGCCTCTCTTCTCAGATCTTTTTAGATCCATGAACAAGCACCTTTGCATTGAAGTTCAGCCTCAAGCAGCTGCAGTGGTGTACTTTCCTTTAAACTATTGGTATAACTCAAACCAAGACATAAAACCTTCTGACTCAAGTTTTTTTTGGCTGTGCTTATCATGATGCCTTGACTCTCACCTGTCTTCTGCAGGTAGAATTGTGGCTTCTGACTTCAAGTATATTTTTTTGTCCTCCTGTAAGTTGGCCAGTCCCTTTGTTCTGGCCAGACCCTCTGGTCAGCAGTCTATTCGACTGTTAGATTGGTGGGTGTTGTGCTTGATATTTATCCCAGAATTACTTCTGTCAGTTAGGACAAAAAGCCAGGTACTTCCACCTTCACCTCCCCTTGGGTCCTGTATTATACCATGATAACTGCAGTTTTGGCTAATAGGACTTTTCTTAGTCTATTTGGCTTAATTTTGAGCAGTGGCAGTCATTCTTCTTTTGACAGCTACAGCATTAATTATGCTTTGCTGTTGGTTACCCAAGTTAGTTGTTTTCCTTGTCTTTAAACCAAAGGGTAGAAATACCTTTGAGAGAACAACCTGTAGCAGTCAGTTTACAATGTGAGCAGAATTTACAAGTTTTTCCTGTAGTCTGCCTTGCCTCCTGCATGTTCAGTTTGTAAGGTGTGGTGATGAAATAGTATTTAGTGGTATTTGGAAGAGGTGGTGGGCTTTGGAAACTCACACACTTTTCCTTAAGAGCTGGCAAATAACTGTAAGGGGGGGGGGGGGTGTGTATAAAGGTGGCTGGAAAACCTGATAACTATTGCTCAATGCCAGGATAACGATCTGCTGGGCTGCCTTGCAAAACTGCATAGGGTTTTGCAGGGATCTGTCCTAATATTAAATGAAAAATCTTTTTACTAATAATTTGAATGATAATTGGAATAAAGTCTTAAGTTAGAGATGATCGCTAGGAGAGCTGCTGTTGGTGTGTCGATCAGGGCTGGGTGAAAATCGCAGATAACATCTAAAAGAATGATGCTTAGTTGGGTCATGTAAGTAATTATGCGTAGGGAGAAAATGTCCTGCATGTATCTTGATGATGTAGTCATTCCCATGGAAGAAAACATCCTCCATGTTCAGAGAAGACTGTTGTCAAAGTCAGGATGGGCAATATTCCTAAAATGAGAGTACCTCTGTTCACTGGAAATTAATCAGCAGCATTTGACTGAAATTTGAGTGTTGCCGCTGCCTAAACTGTGCAGGGGAGGAGTGCAATCTAAAGGGTTTCCATGTCCACCTTGTGTTCTAGCTGAGGAAGAGATTGTCTCCTCAATTTGACTTGAAATGTGCTGTTTTCCAGCAGTGGGTACTCATAAATTGACTGTCTCTTATTTTTAATTGAAGAATCCATTTCAGAGGATTAACACCGCTGCTTATGACGGCTTCCTTGTACTGCCCCTTCACTCTGTATCCTCCTGCTGCCTCTGGCATATGTGATAAGGACCATATCTTCTCTTCTGTGCCTTTGTGCAGTGGAGTCGTTGTCTATGACTAAGGCTGCTGGTATGTCTAGTAGTGTGCCACAGGAAAATGAGAAATGTTTAGGAAGAAAATGGACCCAACATGTACAGTGGCAACCTAAGCATGTCTCTAAGAAATCAAATGATATTGGTATCAAATGATGATCAAAGGTATTTTTCTAGAGCCCAATTCTGAGGAGGATGTCTCGTGGAGAAGTTAGAGGGCATGTCTGATATATGCTGTCAGAACTTTGAGACCTAAGTATTTTGTTTGTGGTACAGTTTTAACAATTCACTAGCATTTTGTTTCAAGACTGAAGTTCCATTCCTTGCACTGAATTTTGCATTCTGCATTTGTAGCCAGTTCTGGTCAAGCAACAAAGCACAAATATAAAGTGGGGTTCTGTACAGTAGTTGGCCAGGATAGTATTCAATTGCCTGTTTCTATTCTTCTCCCTGTGATCGTTTGGCTGTGTATTGGGTCCAAGCTGTTTTATAATGAAATCTGTTTCTCAGAAGCTTCAATTACACAGTTTGAAACAGTTGATTCAGTCTTCCAGACTTTTCTCTTCATCTTGTTTGCTGGTCGATTTCTGCTGCTAAGTAGAGGATGATCTCAGATGGGCAGTTGTGAGTTAAATTTCAGAGCCTATTCAAGACAGTTTGGACAAAATGCCTTTGTAGTGCCATTTTTTTTAAACACTATCTTCAGAAATGTCATGTAAAGGAAAACTCTCTTATTCTGTTTGTGGAAGCCTAGCGGAAGCAGAATGTTTCAAGGATAATTGAGATCTTTGAATTCACAAAGTTTTAACCTCCTTTCAAAGCAGAGTTATGTTTCAGAGTTGTCTGATGCAAGGCTACCCGTCAGTCTTTTGGTACCTGCCTAGTGCATAAATGTAATACTCAGATTTCCAGTAAAAGATGCAGATCCTTTGTTTTGTAATTGAATTGTTCAAATACCTCCCATTTTACAAACCTTCCTTCTTTGAAATGGGAGGCTTTGCAGAAGATAAGAGCTGTTATATCAGAAGTATCACTTCATTCTTATTAGAGGACCTATTAATATTTTGATACTTACTTTGTACGTATACATGTTGAGTAAAATATTTATTTTTCTGATTCACCTTTACAGGTGCATTCTTTGGCTCCCTTTAAGTGAAGGAAAAATGATAGAAAAATATGTATAGCTCAAGAGTTCATTGCTGTATCTGTTTTATTCCTGTGTGATGTGCTAGTTTTGGAGGTTGACTAAAGGTCCCTGAAAAGACTCTTGTGTATTTTAGAAGTACCGTATTAATTCCATGTAAATAACTTCAGCTTTCTTTTTGATAGACCTTGAGAGAAGATTTGTGCACAATAAGAAACAAGCCACGTGTCTTCAGCTTGTTTACTGTTGCATATTGTAAAATCGAAATTTTTGGAGCTCTTTTTATTAGATAATAGTGCATGTGTGTATAGAATGAATTTCCTTGTTTATTCTTTCTTTAACTCCTGGTTTTAAAAGTGTAGATATCTATAACCTATTCCTTCTTTGTGAGGCGCTGTTCTCAACAGTGTGTTTATTCTTTACTGCTTTGCAACCCCAGGCAATGGGATTTTTCCTGCTTTGAACACACTGTCATTCTACAGCTGGAACTACAAACCAGATCTCAGCTCAGAATATGGGACCTTGATTTTTTTGTTGTTATTTTTCCCTCTATCTGCAGCATTTTAACATTGGCATTTTAAGTGGTAATGCTACATGGAGGTACTATGCAATGGGAAAGAAAACCATTCCTGACCAAAAATTGTAGTTAATATGTAGAACTCTTTTAGAAATTTTTGTCTGAATAATATGCCTGTAGTAGTATTCTGCATATTAAACTTTTTCAGTGGGATGTTCAACTTTTTTAAAGGAAACTTTCAGGATCAGTGTTTGCTGATACTAACTTGGTGGTTGAACAGTTTGGTTTTTTCTCACTCTGCCCCCCTGTTTTAGGACTACAATGATGAAATCAGACAGGCACAGCTTCAAGAATTAACATATTTAAATGGTGGTTCAGAAAATGCAGAAGTTCCAGTAGTTCGTGGAAAACCATCTATTCGAGCAAGAGGAGTACCAGTTCCTGCTTTGGCCAGGTAAGTATCTCAGCTGCAGTGGAATTTCATTTGAATGTATTTTAAGCTTCTCCCTTCAAACACCTCCCCCCCCCACCACCCCCGAGTACAACAGTAAAATTCATGAAGGACTCTGAAAATATGAGCAAAAGATAAGGGAAACAGTCTTGATTCATTGAAGATAGTCTAATTAGTTTAGACTGAATTAACAATGGTGCTGAAATTTGTCTTATGAAACTTGAAGACACCTATGTTAAAAAACAATGTACGTCATACAAGATGTTCCATCTTACTGTGTGAGCACCTGCTTGACTTCTGACTTTCATTTGCTCCTTAGGTGCATGTAGGGTCTGTGTATTGGCCCTGTGGAGCTCATGGCTTTGAAAAACTGGTAAATCTGTCTTGCCTAATTGACATATGAATTTCAGCGATTTCTCTAACTTATGGAATATACGTATTCCTTTTTTATAGCATTACCAAGTTTTCGTAGTCGTGAATAAAATGTTATAGAAGTGCTTTGGAGGTAGAATTTGGATTTAGTTTCATCTGAGTGGCACTTATTTCATAAAAAAAAAAAGGCTTTTGTTTGATTCAGGAATAGGCAAGTCTACTGCTTCTTTTGCTTTATTTTTCTTTGACACAGGAGGTGTTTTATTTTTACTCTAGCATCCCCTATCTTCCTTGCAGTACTGAGATGACAGCTTCAACTCCTTTGAGTCCTGAAGTGTGAAAACAAACTAAATAAAGTGCATAACTGTTTCTGTAACAGTACAGAGAGATTGCAGCAGCTGAGTGTAACTGTTTTCTATGGTGAACTATTTTCCTTCAGTTGTGGCTATGGTGCTTATTAATGCAAGCTTGAAACTTACGTTTCAGTTTTTAAGAAGAATTTCAAAATAATATTCTGAAGTGTTTTAACTCAGATTAAGCATGTTAGAAGAAAAAGCACTGAGGAATTATTCCATTTATACAGATCTGTTTAGTTACATGTATCCTGTAATAATAATTGCAAATGCAATGCAGAATGAATCTTAATTTAGAGAATTTACACTGACTGTTGGTTGTGTCCTGTAAGAATATAATTATTTTCTCTAAATCAACAAATTTTTGTTCTTATATTGTGTAATATATCTATTCTGCTTCTTTTCTTGATTTTGATGTTCAGAGTAGTGGTAATTATATACCAAGGTTCACTTCTTTAGCACTGTAATCAGCCATACGAAAGTAAGTGCTTGCAAATTAGAGATCTCATTTCATTTTTGGAGATTGTTTTTTGCTAATTCTTTCCCATAAATGCCTGTAACAGCTCTGCTACAGATGCTTAGTACAGAGACACCCACAGTTCTATTTCATGTTTTCCTTTTTCGTATGTCCTTAAGCTAGTGTTTGATACAGAAGTTAGTTATGGTTTGGTCTGATCTTATCACTAATACCTAATTTCCACTACTGGTATCTAGCACATGCATGCATAATTAACTTTTCATAGTCCTGAATTTCTAACGTCACTAGTTCCATCCTCCGGATTTTGGTAAATTATTTTTTCAAACCTGCATTTTATACAAGACGTATATGCTGTTAGGTAGCTCACAAAATCCTTTAGTTCATCCTATTGGCATACAACTATTGAAGTGTCTTCAGGGTAAATTTAAATGTTATTAGTATTTGATTTGGAGATGATGCTAAAAATTGTATTTATCTCCTTTTTTATGTGTTCTAAAGAAAACTGAAATGTTGTTGGCTTGTTTGACTTGACTTGACCTTACTTTAAGGCTTGTCTTAAACTCCAAGACTTTTTCACCTCAAATTGAAGTGCTCTGTTAGCATAAAAGATTCCTTGAGTGAAATTTAATGGCATTGCTACTGAGATACTACAGCCATTGTGTTAAAGATCTCAAACTCAGTTGCAATGCTCTGATTCTTTTTTAGCACCAACTGATTTCAGTGAGTAATACTTTTGTTGAATGAAAGCTTTGTTAAAGGCTTTGTCTTAGTGTTAAATAAAACAGTTTTGATAGCAAGCATCCCTGGGATCTAGGAGAGGTTGAAGCAAAGCTTGAGAAGACTTGTAAAATGATGTCTAAAACCTCGATCCTAACCTCTCTTTATAATCTGTAGAATGTTTTTAAGGTATCAACCTTGATACCTGAAACATTCTGTGAGGATGCAATAACAGAGTGTGTTTAAGTTCCCAATTTTTTAAGCCTTTTATTCCTGAATAGTTTCACTTAAAAAACCAAAGTACTAATTTATGCCTTCTTTTACTCCTTATCAGACATGTTGAAACTGGAGATAATGCATCTTATCAAGTGCCTTCTTTTATGAAGACTTGTTATGTGTATGTTTAGCTCCATACCAAAATTTTACTTTGTAGAAAACAATACATTTGTTATGCTTGCATACAAAATTCTAGCTTGTGCACAGGTATTCCCGTATATGGTAAGTAATTTCCTAATGGTTGTCATTTGGTAATTTTTTTATTCTGCTATTTCTGGCTTGTTCAGGATTTTCTTGACTGAATTTTTTGACTCTAGAGCCAAGTAAGATTTTGGGGGTGAGTGGATGGAATTTGCTGTGGAAGGATTGTGTGTGTTTTGAGCTTTGCCTTTAAGAATATGCTTTTCTTATCATTGATCTTGGGCGTATAGCTGCTTCCTTCTGCCCTCTTGCCCCCATTTTTTCCTTCATCCTAATACTGTTGAAGATGACCTTCAGATGCAATTACAACGCTTCTATTTTCTGTGACGTTTATGCTAAACATTTAAACTCTTTAGGTAGTACCTGCCTGTTCAGTGCAACAAAAGAAAGACATGAAAATCTTTCCCTGGTGAAAGTCTGGTTTTCATTCCTTTGTTTTTATTGTAAACTGACATTGTTCTTAAATGGTTTTTTGGAGGTGACTATATAAAATGAAGGATCATACAAGTTACTTTTAAATTTATTGTGCTAGCAAGCTTAGAGAATCCATGATGTTTAATGTGATACTGTTATAGTGAATAGCTAGAAGATGTACGTCTTCTGGAATCATTTTTTCTTTAATGCATTTGGATTCCCATCCTGAATCAGTGCAATATAAATGATAGTACTACTGAAATGTGAATTGAGACTTCTAATTAACTGAAGACTGCAAAGAAACATGTGTTAACATACATAATGTACACCTCTAAGGACATTTTTGCAAATAAAGTTGCATTTCTTCTCTCTAAAACTTCACATTCCTATTTTAAGAATAAAAATAAGATTTAAGGATCACTCAATTCTGACTCAAACTAATATATTGGAAAAGTGAAATTCTAGAGGATGATACTAGTAAGTCTAAGAATATGGATAAATCTTCCTTGCTACCTTGGGGTGGGGGGGGAACCAATTCATGTCACTTATAGCTAGAAATCGCTGTTAAAATCATAGATGGGGCATCCACAGCTTCTCTGGGCAACCTGTTCCAGTATCTCACCACCCTCATCGTGAAGAATTTCTTCCTTATGTCCAATTTAAATCTACCCTCTTTCAGTTTAAAACCATTGCCCCTTGTCCTATGACTACAGGCCCCAGTAGAAAGTCTCTCTATCTTTCTTATAAGCAGCCCCCCCTTAAGTACTGAAAGGCCATAATAAGGGAGACCTGGTTGGGTTCACTGACCAGATTGAGAGGAATTGTATTTGAAAGCAGATATTTTGGTTTCACTAAGATGAGGGGAGGAGAAAGTAATTTCTCATAAAGCCAACCTGTAAGAATAGTCTAATTAAAGAAATAACAAAATTCTGGTTTAAGTTTGTGTGAGTTTGTGGGTTGTTTTACTTTTTCCACTTATTCTTTTTATTCATATTTCAGTGTATACATGGGTGGGATCCTAATGGTTGAATGACTGTCACTCTATCAGGGGACAAATAAAACTGTTACAGAAATTGTAGGTTAGAACTTGCTGTCTTATGTCAAAAGTAATATGAAGTGATGTGGATCAGTGCTGTAATGTGTTCAAAACTTCCAATTGTTCTTTGTTAGTCATCAGATCAAACTTAAGTCATTCCTGTCATGTCTGCAGTCAACTGGTTTCTTTTTTGAAGAATAACTTTTTGTTGAATTCCAAGTGTTTCTTTGTTGAATAATACAGTGTTAGGGAACTGGTCCTAAATTTCACAAGTATTTTTATTTTAAAGCTATTCTTACATTCACTTCCCCTTCTGGAGGGGAGATATTGAAAAGGATCTTCATATCATAAAAACTCATTTAATTTTTGTTCTTTCACTAAAACAAAGTGAAGGAAAGTTGTGAACTGACTCTAGTTGTGATTCCATAATCAGAGTAATTTTACTAACTCAGTCATCCAGTGAAAGGAGAAACTTGAAATAAAAATCAGTATAATACTAGAGAGAAGAAAGTGATAAATGAAAAGATAAGAAAGCAGACCTCTTGCTTAGAGAACCTGGAAGGGAGTAGCGACTGGACACTAATCCTGCTATGGATGAGGGCAACAATTTAGTTTGCTGGAAACAAATCATAGAAACATTATGGGACTACTATAAAGTAGATATGTCAAAAATTATTGCTAATAAAGGTCAAAGAGGAAGTGTTTAAGTAGTTTTCTATGGATGTATTTAAGTTGTATGAATTGGTAAAGTACTATTTTAGTGGCAGTCAAGGATTAGGTTACTACCTGTGAACAAATGTTGTGAGTCCAACATAGTATAATGTGGTTCTTAGTGATACTAGGTTTTCTTTAGAATGTTTTTCCACACATTAAACTCTTTGATAAATCGCTTGCTGTTTGAATAATTACAAAATGCAGTGCTTAAGTAATATTTTAACTGTACATTGTAAGGTACACTTTTCAGGTTTTTATACATCAAAATTATCTTCTATAATTACTATACTGCACTTACAAATCACACTAGCACATTTTAACACTTTTGTGAAAGGCCTGTTCTCTCATTCTCTTGTGTATTTATGATAACTTTATAGAAATTAAGTGCTTCGCTTTTTATTCGTCATTTTTTCCTCTCATATACTACATTGTGAGTATAAAT